GTGGATTACTGCCTCAAACTGCTGTCTAGAGAGAAAAGGTTTTACTTTGGCTAGCTGCCTCAGGAGATAAAAGATTGTTTTTACCACAGATTGAATCTGACTTTTCAGTTTACTACAATTATAACACGTATATTACAATATATACAGTGGTGTTTTGCAATATAGAGTATGGTGAGATATGGAGGGTAGCAAGAAAAAGAAGGGGTCATTGTTTTAAGCAACATAAAAATAAATATTACAACTAAATAATTACAATGTTCTTCAACGGCATCTCTAACTGGGCCCTTGGGACAAAGAGGTGCAGAGTACAGCACCTCTTAACATTTTAGAAGCTGGAAAAAGCTACAAAATAAAACATGAATAACAAATGTACAGTACATGAATAAAAGTGACAGTGCAGTGTGAGATGTGAATAGTTCAATTAAAAGTAGCGGCAAAAAGAAAAGTCTTCAGCCTGGATTTAAAAGCAGTCAGAGTTGCAGCGGACCTGCAGGTTTCTGGGAGTTTGTTCCAGATGTTTGGAGCATAATAACTGAACTTCTCCTTGTTTAGTTCTGACTCTGAGAAAGCAGACCAGAAGACCTGAGGGATCTGGATGGTTCGTAGTTGTCTCATCTCATCATGTGTTGTCCCTCTCCTCCAGGTGTTCCTCTCTCCTCTCCTCGACAAGGACTTCAAGGAGCTGGACGGGCGCAGGAAGCGGCAGCTCCTCAAAGACTCCGCCCCCTCCTCTCTGCTGAACGGACAGATGAACGGCGCCCCTCCGATGAAGCCCGTGGACGTTCTGCCGTCCCACAGCCTCACCAGCACGCGCATCATCGAGCAGCTGAGCGGCAGCCACGATCTGGCCAAGATGCTGGCGGACTACAGAGCGAAGGGCGGGCGAATCCGACAGAGAGAAGCCCCAGATCCCTTCAGCAGCTCCAGCCTCGTGGCTCCGGTCAGCGCCTCGACGGGGGGGAGAACCCTCCTGAAGACCGACAGCGAGGACGAGAAGACGGGGAAACTCAACGATGTGAACTGGGCCCCCAAGGTGAGCAGTGTTGACACATTACTCATTATAAGGTAAGGCAAGTTTATTTATATATATAGCACCTTTCAACACAAGGTGCTTTACAAAAATGAAAGACATTATAATAAACAAGAAATAAAACATGAACAATATTCTCATTAAGAAAAGTCTTCAGTCTGGATCTAAAAGTAGTAAGAGTTGCAGCGGACCTGCATGTTTCTGGTAGTTTGGTGCTCACAAGTCTGCACTTTGTTGCAATCAAAATAATGTAACTTTTGGGTAATTTATCTTAATAAGATCTTTAAATATAAAAAACACCAAGAAAACGTGGAAACTGAACGATGTGAACTGAGCCCCCAAGGTGAGCACCAGGGCCGTTTCTAGCTTTTTGGGGGCCCTATGCAAGATGCTGTTTGGGGGGCCCTAGTTTTTACAGTTTTTTAACTACAATGGGGGGATTCCGAAGCTTTTAAGATGATCTGTGGAGATTCATCAATCTGTTACACTTTAATAGGAAAACAGGCTAATTTCACGAAATTGAAACTTACAACAAATGATATTAAAAAGGTAAGCAATAAGGCTCCTCTATGTCAATAAATGCAAGAGATGCAGCATTTTCTCAAGAATGTATAATCTTCCTCAGACGTCCCTCATTGGGTGACAGGCCAACGATGATTTGGACTTTATTACCCCAAAAACCCAAGCCGAAGCTTTGCTATCGTTGCAGTTTAGTTGTGTTTATATCCTACATTGGATTGTTAAGCATATAATGCTTCACCGAACACAGGAGGGGGCTTGGCTGTCTACAAATAAAGACAGCTAATTTTAATTCTCCCCAAATATATTGAGGCTGAACCTGAACTTTCAAATTGGGGGCCCCCTAGTGGCCGCGGGGGCCCTATCTGCATAGTCCGCCTATAGGAAGAGACGGCCCTGGTGAACACTTTCAAATTTTAATCAAAGTCAACTTTATTGTCAATCTTTCAGTTTGTGTGTAGAGACAGACAGAGAGAGCGAAATGCCCTTTCCCACAATCCCGAATACAAAAATACAAATATAAAAATATGTATATCCTATATATACACAATCAACTGACACATTTATACATATGCACACATTAAGACATAAATAAAAGCACAACAATCAATCAATACAAAATAACAGTCACTTCTTTTGGTGACATTTTGAAACCTGTTTTCATCAATGTTTACTCGGTAGTAATCCTCATTTTTGGCACATTACAGCCGGATAAGTGGTCTTACTTCACCTGCAAATACAATATGGTGTTCACAACACTGCTCTTTGTTGCAATACAAATAACTTCAATTTCGGGTCATTTATCTTAAAATACTGTATAGGGTTTTAAATGAAATGTTGTAGTTTGGATTGATTGTCAGACAATACAAGCAACTTGAAGAAGTTACCACCTTTTGTGATCTGGGAAGTTATGACAAGACATTTTAAATTCTTAAAAATGTTTTTATCACATTAAACAATCTGCATTCCTAAACAAGGTACAACATTTCCATTTTCTTCCAGCTTCACTCCTTCTGCTGAATATTTACAGGTTATTTCATAAATCTATTTGAAACGTTATTGTTTGTGTTTGTCCTCAGCTGGACTGTCTGAACCCGGTCAACCATCAGAGACTGTGTGTTCTCTTCAGCAGCTCGTCAGCGCAGTCCAACAACGCTCCCAACCCCTGCGTCAGCCCCTGGTAAACATGTCCACCCGGAGTGTGGATTATTAAAGAATATCATACAGTGTTTTTACTGTATTTGCACTCATTGCTTTTGTTGTCAACAGGATTGTCACAATGGAGTTCTACGGCAAGAATGACCTCTCTCTGGGCGTCTTCTTGGAGCGATACTGTTTTAGGTAAGACGACATGGAAGGAAGAAGTTTACACTTATTTAATCCCACCCTTTCTCCCAAAAACTAAATTATTAACATATATATATATAACACTGCTTTAATGAGAGATTCATTATCAGAGAGAAACTTTGGAAAGCTATGGCGTTAAGAGCTTAATCATTTTCATATAAGTAAGACGTGTGTGTGTGTGTGTGTGTGTGTGTGTGTGTGTGTGTGTGTGTGTGTGTGTGTGTGTGTGTGTGTGTGTGTGTGTGTGTGTGTGTTTCCTCCAGGCCATCCTACCAGTGCCCCAGCATGTACTGTGAGACTCCCATGGTGCACCACATCCGGCGCTTCGTGCACGGCAGCGGCTGCGTGCAGATTGTTCTGAAGGAGCTGGACTCTCCGGTGCCGGGCTATCAGCACACCATCCTCAACTACTCCTGGTGCCGCGTCTGCAAACAGGTCAGCAACAACATCACATAACAGATAGCAACTAAGCATACCATAATATAACATAATCTGGACTGAAATGTTCTCTCAATGGGACCTGATAGATATGAAAGAAATAATAATAACATTAAGTATTATTACCAATACCAAATAAAGTCATGTAGTTTTGATACTTTACTCTAAGATCTGCTAACAGCTCAGTAACAACAAAACATAACGTGAGCTCCCTGAAGGAGAGATGTTGGATTAAAGGGTTCATAAAACTGAATTAAAACTGAATATTTACGTACCAGTACCAAATGTTACGTTTTTATTTTCCTTACCAAATTGGAAAAAATGTAATGTGTATTTATTTTATAAATCAAGAAACATCTGTTCTATATTTAGGTGTGAAAGAGCCCTTATACTCATGTAATCATAGTTATCAAACTGGCAGGGGGGCCATATATACTAACAACTCAAATTGGTTAATTTTAACTAGGTTACCCTTTTTATTTGATATTCAAATCCCCCAAAATCTAACCCAAAACTACATTTTAGATAAGGCCAAAAAGACTGGACTACATTACCATTTATTAAAACAGGAGGTGCATTGTTTTATTTATTTATTTTGTCTACATGGCCATTGTTATGTTGTGTCATTTATTATATGAATGCAAAAGGCTGTATTTAATGTTGATCAAAATCGAAAATAAAAATAAGTTAAAGGAAACAAAACGTAACCTGCCAAATGATTAAAGTGAAACCAGTTTGTAATTCAGTCTATTTTCTCAGGCGTAACTTCCTCTTGTTACTCACCGGGTGTTTCTCAATGTCGAGGAAGGATGCTCCAGAGCCACTATTTCAAGGGTGATACGTCGGCGAGTCCCGCCGAAGGGCTGTTCCAATGTCCAATGCTTGGAATTCTACCGAGGCCGGCGTACTTCGTTGCGGGAAATTTCGACGCTGCACATGTGTAGACTCCGCGGTCTTAAAATCCCCACAATGCTTTGCGCACGGACCAATTTCCAAATCCATTTAAGGCGGGGCCTCGCATATGACGCAGACCTGCACACCTGTTAGCCTGTTCCACCATTCTTCGTTTTCCGAGGCTAGGAAGGATTCTTGCCTCGCTTCTGAAGGACCTGACTCGGAGGTACATGTGCTACCAAGCAAGCGTCCTCGACATTGAGAAACACCCACCATCTCTGCCTCTTCTTTTCTCAGGTGACTCCAGTGGTGCCGCTCTCCAACGACTCGTGGTCCATGTCCTTCGCTAAATACCTGGAGCTGCGTTTCTACGGACACCAGTACACCAGGAGAGCCAACGCTGAGCCCTGCGGACACTCCATCCATAAAGACTACCACCAGTACTTCTCCTACAACCAGATGGTGGCCTCCTTCAGGTGGGTCACTGTCCTTTATTCAGAGAACATTGCAACAACTGTGAACACACACACACACACACACACACACACACACACACACACACACACACACACACACACACACACACACACACACACACACACACACACACCAAGCCCCCAGGAAGTGCGCCGGACTCTGAGGAAAATGTTCGTTGTGGCCAAACGGCGGTACTACACTTCCGTATCAGTTGCCGGGCCCGGAAACACTTTTTCCCATTGACTAACATTGGGAAAGAGACGTCTGTAAATCGTTGGATAATTTGTTTTAAACTAAATGAACTACCCAGTATGAACGTTTGTATAGCCCTTATTAAAAACATTCGGTCCTCAAGTTGTAAAATGTGCTAATAACGTTAATCTGAGAGTTATTTTCCTCTGCATTATGAACGCGCATCCAACCCACGGGACCGCGCCGCCCGGCACGTTCATGTGACGTGTTCAGTACCACAATGCACAATAAGAACGGATTTTACGATTATATGAATACTTTCGTGACGTTTCACTCTCTCAAAAGTTGGACCATTTGGGCTTCATGCGCCAATGAGCAACTCTCATAGGAATGAACGAGGCCCCGCCTCCCACGAGGCCCCGCCTCCCACGCTGTATCCAGTTACACCCCTCAAAGACTGATACCACTACTATTTTAGAAAAACTTATGGCTATTTTACTAATATATACAGTATTTAGACTGTAAGTAAAAATGCACATTGACATTGAATGTTATCTCGTTGCACTTTCATCGCTACTACCTCTGCTTTCACCACTCTTATTTATTTATTGTGTCTATTTTTTACTGCAGTGTGAGAGTTGCCGAAGAAATGTCGTTGTACTTTGTATGATGACAATAAATATATATTCTATTCTATTATTCCACACATGGCAGTTATTTTAAAACAAAACATATACACTTTACAAAACATGTACACTTATACTGGTTGTTGTTTTATTAAATTTTTTTATGGCGCATGGTAGAAAGGAGCAGGGAGAAGAAAATCGTATTCTGCCTGCCCCTTCTTAAAAAAGAAAATAAATGAAATCACCATAAAAAGTTAAATGAAAGCAATATTCTTTCAGTCACAGTTGCTTACAAATACTGAAACATAAAACCAGAACACAATCCAAAGTCAACCTCTTCATACTGTCTAATTACGCTTCCTTTATACTTTTTCTTAAACATCTTCTTACAGCCCTTTAAATCATTTGGCAAAGAATTCCACTTCTTTACGCAGAGACACACATCTGCTTTAGTACGTGCACACTGATGCTTCAAATTGAATCTCCTGTTATATGAATAGAAATACAATCATTGATCATGGTGCATACTGAGACACATCTTCTACTAGATGTTTTTTGTTCAGTCCACAAATATCCCTCTCTCTCTCTTCCTCAGCTACAC